CTACTAAGTAATTAACATCTAGAGAGCTTATTGGTTTATTGGGCTTAGTTTGTGGTCTGTTGAGAAGCTTCATTATTTGAAAAAGAAACATATTTACCTATGGATTATCTTAGACATGAACAGACTTGCTAGACTCTTAAAACAGACATGTGGGTGATGGATAAATTCAATTAGCAGCCTTGTCTATTGCAGCTCTTTAAAGCATACCAAATTAAAAACATGACTACTTTTGTATTAGAATTAGAGTAGTCCCTGGGCGCCGAACATGGACTGAAATTGAGTCGAGACCACATCTTCTTATTTTGCCATTACTTCATTCACACTCCACTACAAATAAGAAAATGTTTTCAAACGTTAAACAATGCTTTCTTTGCTCTTCTGTATAGCTGTTTTTTCCTTCGAAATGCCAGTTTATGTCCTCGACTAGCAATTTTTTTCTTAAACATTATTGCTATGAAGCGAACCTGAATTGTGGTGACATTTTTAGCGTCATTGAAGCTTTTAGTGAATAACTTAGGTATCAGATAATGCTAAACTTTAAGTGGCCAGTCCCTTCAAAATGTTTAGAAAGTCGAAGAATTGAAGTTTTAAGGTGTCAAATTTTCTTGCAGGTATTATTTGCTTATTTCATGGATTAAGCTAAGAAAATCATAAGATGACTTTGTTAGAACAAATAATAGACTATCCTCATGTTTCCTAGTAATGGGTCCTTGCTTGTATTCTTCTATCCTCATTTGAACAAAAAACTGAGCAAGCTCACACCCTCCATGAATTCTAGTTTGTAATAGTCCTAGCGGCATTGTACTAGGATCATCTTTTTCTTCACAATTGGAGGATGTGAAACGAGCACTTGGTTTAGATCTATCTTCCGAGTAACATTCAGCCTACTAAGGCGATGATCTACCTCATCATCATTCGAAAGGTGTTTCGATCTAACTTGCCAAGGATTCATGGACCCAACGATAGATCTCCTAGATAGTTTTCTTGAGAGATTTAAGTCTAAACAAAAAATATAAAAAAATTAGAAACAAAATACAAAAATATGTCTTTTATTTTCCTTAGTTAGTAATAATCCCCTGTAGTTTTTCTTAGTGCCTCGGTTATTTTTCATGGGATGTAACTTGAACCGGGTAGTAGTTTTTATTTTTATTTTTTTATTTTTACTTTTAGAGTAGTATGTAGGAAATAAAGGAGAAAAGAAGCGGAAGAACTGATGTGATTTGCATCTTGGACTTGTTTGATGGTTGCATACTTAGGTTCTGGCATGCGTTTCACCTTTCCTTAGTTTTAAATATATGATGATGCCTTGGTAAAAATGAATAGCATGTGGTATAACTCCTACGTCTCGGTTGCTTGACTTGTGTTCACTTTGTGCTTTATGCTTAATATATCTCTTCGCTTTCTGAATACGTGTTTGAGTGAGAGTCCGAATGAAATCGTCCTTAGTGAGTCATGTGACATGTGTGAATTGAGTTCTTTGTATAGTCCATGTTATCGCATTTGAGTCTAGAACCCGGAATATGAATTGAATCGAAATCCTAGGTGTTGCTCGGTTTGAAAAGTGATGTTATCTTTTTGAGTTTTGTTGCTTATCACAAATTAAGTCATCCCTAGTTTACCCTTTTGAGCCTATTAGCCTTTCTTTTGGCACCCGAATTATAAGTCTATCCCCTTTTGTTCTTAATTGAATCATTTTGATCCTTATACCCCTTAAAGCACTTGAATTGCAAAGAGAACACTAGAAAGAAGTAATGAGAAAACTTGGGGTAACTTTCGAGTGAAACCAATAGAAGGAAGAAATGTGCACTTGTGCTTTAAATAAAATCCACTAGCGGCAGGGCAAAAATACAAAAAAAAAAAAAAAAAAAAAAAGAGAGAGAAGAATAATTAAATAAATAAAGGTTTCTTATTTTTGCTAGTGGATGTGATATGAAGTAGTGTGTAAAGAAGAAGAAAAAATATTTTGGGGTGAGATATCTTGTGATGATTGAAGTGGATTGACGGAATTGCACTTAAAATTGAATGCGGGATATGTTAAAGTGCTTATGAGGGTTAGCCATTATATCCGAAATATATCCTACTCTTCCCTTAGCCCACATTACAACCATAATAAGTCCTAAGTGATTTCAGATCGAGCGGGTCTACATTAGTATAGGTTTATATAATGGGCAAGCCTATGGTACCTTTTGCGTGCATGTGACTTCTTTGAGAGAGAGAGAGTGTGATTTTTCTTCATATGTGTGAGTCCTTAAAATATATTCGATCAATGTGATTTGGATGTGTGGACTACTTACTCTTTGTTTTATTGAGAGTGCACATGGTTTCACAAATGATAAGTAACATTATTAGACCTCTCTGTTAGATTAAGTATTCAAGCCTCGGGTGCATTGTGACATTAAGTTAGTTTTCGAGGCTAGGATTGTTATAATCATGTTGTTCCTATGTTAGATGTTTTGAAATTGGGCATCAGTACGGGAAGTGTATTTTGACCGCATATGCTAGAGCTTAATTGTTGCTATCAACCATGGTCATAAGTGTAGTGTGCTATAAATATGTGGCTTGTTGGGTCCTTGAAGAAGAAGTGTTTGGTTGGTTGACTCGAGAGCGAGCAACATTTAAGTGTGGGGTGTTGATGTCGTGCTATAATTCCATATATTTTGATGCTATTTACCCTACTTGCTTGTTATTTGGATGCTAATTTGTGTGACAATTGCGCTTAATAGAGCTTATTTCACGTGTAGGAATGCTTGGACATGAATTGGAGAAAAATTACACAGAATGGTACCTCAGAGCTATAAAATGGAGCAATAAAAGAAGAAGTGCAAGGCAACGAAACAACAGTGCCATAGACAGTGCAAGGCATTGTCCAGGGCACTGTCATTGGCGCCCCAGACAGTGCCTTGCGCAGAAACAACAGTGCCATAGACAGTGCAAGGCATTGTCCAGGGCACTGTCATTGGCGCCCCACATAGTGCCTTGCACCGAAACAATGGCGCCATAGACAGTGCCTCGCGCCGACGATGCCATCCGAGCAAATTTTAATTCCTCATTAGTTTTGGACATGTAGAATTCGGCCCCTACACTATAAATACCCCTTAAAGTTAGTTTTTTTATGGTAAGACATCATTAGAGAGGGAATCGACCTAAGGAGGAAATAACACACAAGGAGCAAGACGGAGAATTCTTCTACGAGTTTTTCACTTTCTTCTTCCTATTTTCATTATTGGTTATGAATTCTAGTATTGTAGTTTTGCATACTATTATGAATAGCTAATTTGTTATTTAGGGTTTTGATGAAACCTTTTGTAGGATGAATTCTTGATATGTTTTGATATAATCGAGTTTTTGAATCTTTCTATTTGTTCAACTATGTGCTTATTTTAGTTAATTGAAGATCTCTCAATTAACGACGCCTATTTATTATGTATTGCTTGAAAAAGAGTACATATTTAGGTGGTTATTGAATAACGTCACTCCTAACGTATATGAGAGATCAGTACGGCGGGTTTAAAAGCGGGATTAGAGATAACGAAGCTTTGACGTGATCATAGTGAGCGGTGAAAAAGTGCGAGCTAGCGTAATTCGAGAGAATATGACTAGTAGATTGTCGTAGTTGCTCGAGAGAGAATTACGATAAGTCGAGTGCTCATGATCAATAGAGGATACTTAGGCGATATTATAGGAGACGTAGCGAGAAGGATTCCGACAATTGGGGTAATTATAACTCTAGGCCTCCTTAATCTTGTCCCCAGAACCTTAGTATCTTTAGTTGTTAATTTACTATTTTAATTTGCTAGTTAATTAGTAAGAAAACGGAATCTTGATATTTATAAATTAGGAGTTGTTCGAGCTTGTATTCTTAGTGATACTTAACAGTTACAGCAAAACCTTAGTTTTATGTGGGATTCGACTCCAGACTTTTAGACCAGATTATATTTGCAGCGACCGCTTATCCTTTTTAGGACTAGAGTTGGGCGTGATAAGGAAGCAAGTGCATGGGATGATTTAAGTCTTTGCTTCTATGATGCTAAAAATGGAAGCAGAATCATTCTAACAACGCGACATCTTGAGGTTGCCAATAATGCTATATCTATTAGTAAACCAATTTCTCTTCGTTTATTAAAAGTTGTGGGGACAAGAGCTTGGAGGATAATCTTATTTGAAGAAATCTTGTGATGGTTTCTCAGACGAACGATTCAGATACTGTATTTAAAAATGGAACCAAGTACTGTATGTTATTTGAAAGTTAATGTTATGATTTTACTAACTTATATATTCAACGTCAATGCAAACAGTTAACTAGGAAATTCCCTCCTGATATTTTGTAGCTACCAAGTATTCTAGATCAGTTACTACTGCTTGTTGAGTTATTAACTCAAGTTTTGTTTTAAACAGAGTATGAAGAGCTTGTAGCTGGAGCAGTTTGGAAGATCACTAAGTAAATTTTTTTATTTGTTGTAGTCATTCTAACCTACATTCCATAGTTTTAACTACGGAACAAATTATTCATTGGATCGTTATTGTTTGGTGCAAGCCATTATACTTCGACTCTTGAGGTGAATGGTTTCGGCCTTTTCTTTTTTTCTTGTGAATTATGCGCACTTATGTGTCTTATGATTTCACCAAAAATATTTTCTAGTGTTTGGGTAGTCCACAAGATTGAATACTATGCCTTCCGTGTTGAATGGAACAACTAATATGAAATTAAATGTTATGATAGTTGTAACTTGTAAGGAAAATGACTTCCTCGTGGAAAATATTTTCTCGAAAAATAACTTTTGTCGTACCAAACACATATCATGTTCAAAACCAGAGCCTAGGGCATGAGATCAAGATTTTGACCAACTCAATATAGCTCCACATCGGAGCCCTAAGCAGAACTCAGTGAAGAGAGAAATGAGCAAGTTACACTACATGTCCAGATACCTTGGAACTAAAGAAGTCAAGACACAATATATTTAAGGCAATTTCTATCTCTGTCTGCAGTTGAATACCAGAAGTCAGATTCAAGAGACAATGTTTTAAAAAGGAAACTATTATTCGCCCCTATTCCTTTTTTCAACCTCAAAAAAAAGAACACCAGTTATACAACAATATATGCATAAACATTTAACTATATACAAATTAAATGAGTAACTAAGCATTTCAGAAAGGGAAGAAATGCAGTGGTACAAACTATGACAAACATGTACTAACAGTTTTGTCAATGCTCTTTGCAATCTTTAACGGGCCTAGCTTCAAAACCTCCTTCTGGTCTTTTCTCAAGTTCATATGGCATGTAAGTTCCAAGTATCCTATCCCACGTCACGAAGAAAGGCTGTGAATAGTTAAACTTGGTCCCATAAAGCTGGTGATGAATATCGTGGTAAGCAGAGTTGTTCTTAAAGAAGATATGGAAGAGATTTCCAGGCAACCATAGTCCGCAATGATCATCAACCGTTTTGATCGTAGCAAAGGAGAAAAAGAAGATGGAGGTACGCGGTGACATGCCTGAGACGAGGAAAGCTAGAGCCCCACCAATTGTGTCAAGAATCAGACCCTCTAAAGGGTGGTTGTATAAAGCTCCAAACGCATACGGAACAATTAGCCGATGGTGTTGAGCATGGATATGCTTGTACAAGAACTTGTTTTGGTGCATGTACCGATGCATAAAATATTGCCAAGTATCTAACATCACCATGGCAACAAAGAACTGTCTACCAAGAACAAAAATGGAAGCGTGTTGATCCCCATCAGATTCACCATCATTCCCTGTGACCTGCTCCAAATGAGTCGATAATCAGATGGCCAAGAATTAGTCAAAATACAAACATCAAAGATACTGAAAGTACAAACAATGGTATAAGAAGTGCAACTCCCCATGGCATAAACTTTATGTTACTTATCAATACATACAAAAGGTGTACAATGTTTGGCTCATTGATTCTGATGACTTGATCAGAAAGAAAAAAAATATCAGAGATGCTTGTGTTCAGCATGAGCTAGCCTTCGCCTAATTGAACTTATTTATCTTTCTCTAAGGGTCAGAAAAGCTTACACTTTTGTTATCACAAATGAAAAGGCAGGTGCTAATTCATGAGTTGCGCAAATGAAGCACCTGGGCCGGATGGTTATTCCATGGGTTTCATTCAGAAAAGCTGGCCAATTTTGATACAAGATATTATGAGAGCTTTGGAAGTTGTTCACAGCCAGGAAAGTTTCAAAAAGAGCTTGAAGCTCGGGTTGACCAACTTTGCAAAGTACTCCCTCCGGTCATTTGAAGTGTCTTTTTATCCTTTCAAATTTAGTCCAAATTAAGTGGTGTTTTATCAAACCAAGACGGCATTAACTATTCTTTTTCAAATTTGCCCTTGCTATAATAAATGACCCATGCAACTTTCTAAAATATCTTTCCATGTTTAAAGAAAGATAAGGGATAATTTGGTCGAATACCTTTTATAATTAATGTTATTAACTGAATTTCTTAAAGGGTATGCCAAAACCTTTAAAGACACTTAAAAGGGACCGGAGGGAGTAGCATGAGAAAAGCTTGATTAGGAGGTCAGGGTTACCCCCCCCCCCCCC